TTCTCTTTTGCTGCTCTCCTCCTGCTCTTTCTGATGCCTGGTCTTGACTTGGTGCTAAGGCTAAGAGTAGTGGTCATAGAGGTCAGGCTCTTTAAAGTAAGAGATGTAGCCAGGATTCCCCTCGAATGGATTTTCTATCCTGTCTATTTCTCTTTCGTGACTATCTTCTTGCCTTGAGTCCCTTCCTTTCTTCCTGCCCCGCAATCGGGAAGCAAGAAACCTTCTTTAGCTTCTCTCTTCCCTTGACCACCTTCCTTGTGACATACACAAGATCGTTTTCAGCTTCAGATTCAGAGAGCAGCACCTGCCATCTTGCTATTCTCTTTTTCCCGACGAGATTGAGGGCATTCTCCTTTAGGGAGAAGAGACAATCAGCAACTAGGTCACAAACAAAAAGAACAATCTCAATCGTAGAACAGCGCTCAGCTGGGTGGAAGCATTCAATGAGCTATGTTTCGGGTCGTGTGGTAGATCCTCAATGGGTTGGGGAACTTGCTCTACGCTCTAGGTTATCAGCAAACTTTTTGGATCAGATCCTGTCTGAAAGGAAGGATGCCAATGGGCCATCCCTGGTGCATCCGAACTCGCTTGTCGGCGAATCCACTGATTGCCATAGGGAGGCAAAAACTAGAAATTAGTCGATTTGTCGAAACCACAGATTGAAGAAGGGCCCTGATCGAAGACCCGGTTAGGCTTCGAAGGTCATAAATAGCCTAGCGCCTAATTCCTCACTGGCCTTAAGGATGGCTTAGATTAGAAGCCTCTTTTGGGGGCTTACAAGGGGGATCAATAAATAGTACGTACATTTCACTCTTCCAGCGAAAGCAATTGTTGTGATGGATTCACCCTATCAGCTAAAAGAAAAGCCAAAGTGAAAGGGTCACCCATAACTAACGGGTAGGCTTACACTACACAAATTGATGGGAACCACTTTTTTAAGATAAGATTTCTGGGGTAACCAATAGAGCTATATCTCATAGGCACTAGAGAAGAGTTTAAAGCCTTGAGTATAAGAGCTCGCCGAAATGAAGCCTGCCTTTTCATTTCAGCCCCCTGCGCTAACATCGTTCAGTTCCCGGGCCCCCTATCCTCTGGGGATTCTTTTTTCATACGTAGTCTTTCAACACTTGATTCAATGGCCTTCTGCTTTGATGCTTCGCTTAGCGCTACTACTCCTATGATATTGATTTATTAAGTGCATGGCTGCGGGCAGGAGGTAACAAGAAAAAGAAGGTCTTTGTTCACTAACTAAAATCCCTCTTTGGATGAACATTTCATGGGATTCTTCCAATACTTACTGATAACTAGTACACCACCTTCTATTCTTAGCCGCAGAGAGCCCTCGTCACTAATTTCTTGCTTGCTGCTCGATTCCCCGAATCCGGTCCCGGGTCAACCCCTTGATAAGAACCTGAGAACGACAAGAATGATCTCTGGCCCCCCTATTATCTCGCAAAACCAATGGTTGACTGTGGAGCAAGTGAAGTTCGGTATGTTTACCATGAGTGGAGGGTCATCTTGCAAGTGTTCCGCGAACGACCAGCCAGTGGACAGGAGTGGGCCTGCAAAATGGAATGGAAGGGAAGGTCGCCCTTTTTTTAAGAAATGCTGTCAGTGAAGAAAAGTAAACTGTCATACCAGGCAAAGACTTAAGCCGCCGACCCCCGGAGAAAGAAACCTTAAAAGGCAGAGACCCCTTAGGAATGTCATTCGATTCCCTTCCTCCGACGCCTAGAAGACAAAGGACGGGGAAATCAAGCCTTTATAGTGAAGCTAGCCTATTGCTGTGTAAGAGCTCTATGCTATCTATGGAATAGCGGCCCTGTGTCTTAACTCCGGGCTGCTTGATTGACTGCTTGAAAGTTTGAACCAAGTCTTGGATTCGGAAGAGAAGTAGGCGTAGAGGATATTGGGAAAGATCCCACATCTGGTTAACTGCTTTAGGAGTGCCGGCTCCAGGCTAGAGAAAAGATAGGCTATTACTGAAGCTGTGAAAAAGAATTGCTAGCGAAAGTTTTCTTTTCTTAGTTTAGTCACCGATAAAGAAAGTCGCTAGGCTTCCTGGTGGTATGAAAGATATAGATCTTAGTGCCTTAGACGACCTAGAAGGAGGATTGCTTATCTAATATAACCCATACGTAGACGAAAGTAGCATTCAGGCATCGGTGGAAGCGCTAAGCGAAAAAAGTGAAAAAGCTTTGAAGCCGATCGAACACAACGAGAGTAGCGGATTAGCGGCTGATCTTCTACCTGATCTATCTACCATATTGATGTATTAGAGAGACCGAGTTCCTACGAGGGAAGAAAAGATGAACCAGCTCTCTCGATAAATCCCTGTACCTTTGTGAAAGACATCGCATGGAATAGCTTACACGGAAAGGAGCTTGGTACAAGCTCAGATTCAAAATAGAAGTTCCTGAGCTAGAAGGAATGGGATCAGGGGTGGGTAATAGACTGACTGCCAAGGAGCGGAGCAGCTCGACCCAAACAAGCAACGGCTAACGAGAGAGCGCTAGCGCGAAAGCCGCGCCCATTTCTACCCTTGGCATCCGTTGCTGGGAGAGGAGTGAAGCTGCTCTAACGGATCTGAGCTGCTGTACCAATAAGTGAAAGAAAAGAGCGGACCGCAACTAGACCTGAGAAAACAGCAGCTTTCAGGCATCCTCTCATTGAGGAGGTCTTAGATAGAAGATGAGCCGACGGTAGGACTCTCTTAGAGTGTGGGAGTATAACAGTAGCAGCAGTTATGGCCCCATACCCATGAGCATTGGCGTGAGCAGCTAAGCTAAGGTCGGAAAGGAAGAATGGGTGGGCTTACAGGCTACCTATTTCCTCAGCCGATAAGAGAATCTGTCTTCAGCACAGATCGAGGCTTGTCGAAGATAAGTATCAAGTCCTCTATCGCTGGACTAGACTAGATTTCGAAGATTGAGGAGTGGCAACTCTCAATGGAATTCCATAACCAACTCCCAAAAGAAGGGTAGTCAAAGACTACCTCTTTCTCCTGGCCTGGCTGGCTCTCCTACCTGGGATCCCAACTATCATCCATATCCGTTTACCCTACCTGCTATCGACAGTCCTTCCACCTGTTACTCACTCTCAGGAGGGAGATGGATGGATCGTGCTTGTGCTATCAAGCCGAAAAATGACTGCTTTCGAGCGGTATTCACGGAAATGAAAAAGATGGAATGGTTGTAAACAGATTCGCTAGTTGGGTCAATTGGCACTCTTTCACTAGTGATTGTAAGCTAGGTGCCCTTAAATGACAGGAGGGGAAGAAGCTCTAACGGAAGCATCCAATCAACCGGGAATCCCACCTTTCAGATTCTACATCTGCTACTGCTGGAGTGGAGAATGAATCTACTACCTGTGCCAGCAAACAAATACTAAAAATAAGATAAGGCTAGGTGTCCATGCCACCAACCAACTCCTGAAAGAAAAACAAGAGCTTCCCCGGCAAACCACTAGAAGTTACCTCGAGCAATGATCCAATTGGAGAAGCAAGCTGCTCTTTGTCACCCCATTTCCCTTGGGACCAAGAACAAGCTCCAAAGAAGAAGGACTTATCGCAATCTCAGGTACAATGGCTAGTTGGAAAGCCTTTCAATTCAAGCCAATCTCTTGATTCACATGAATGTGAAACCGTTGCAACCGATCCTGCATACCAATCATCCGCCGCTTACAGTAATGGCACTAAGCCAAGGTTTCTATGGATTCAGTCCTGTGGAAAAAGACATCTATTAGGGCAATTCAGTTAGTAGTGTCACCGGTCAATCCTTGGGACACTAGCGAGTCCGTCCTTAAAAGCCCTCCAAATTGGGTCCATGAAGCCTTAGATACTCCAAGCCTCAATCTTTATTGTCCTTGAACCTAGACCATGGAAGTATGGTTATAGTCCCATTCCATTAGTGGGATCCATAGCCTACGGGTCTTTCCCAAGCCAGTCAAATCAAATAAGAAGGTTTTCGAGGACTACCCTAAGCCTACAAGTAGGCAGGACTATCAGTTACAATGTCTAGGTTGGGCAAGCTTGGATGCCCCTACTCCCAACAAGTAGCTGGTCGGGATCGTGAAACTATCGCTGTTTGGTCATAAGGATAATCGATCGTTCTTATCTTATTAGGTCGGGGGCGGCCGGCCCGGGGGTTACCCGCGATTGGTAATGGCATAACCAGAAGAGGAGTAGGGGAGACAAGGTTACGCGCTGGGTAGCGCAGCGCATCTGTTTCGGGTACAGGGGCGACGAGGGGTGCTAACCCGGCCACCCAACCCAGCAGGTCAGGGGCGGGCCGGCCATAGGTTCGAATCCTGCCACCTTTCTTGTGGATCATCCTGTGGTTACCGGATGATGGGAATAACAAAGCAGAAATTTTGAAATGAGCACAGCACGAAATGTCAATAATATATGAATTCTTTCATTTATCGTTATTTCCGGGTCTTTTCGTTGCATTCACTTACAACAAGAAACAACCACCAGCGTTTGGTGCAGCACCTGCATTTTGGTGCATTCTTCTTTCTTTCCTTGGTCTTTCGTTCCGTCATATTCCTAATAACTTATCCAATTACAACGTATTAACCGCTAATGCACCTTTCTTTTATCAAATCTCAGGGACATGGTCTAATCATGAGGGTAGTATTTTATCATGGTGTCGGATCCCACGTTTTTATGGATTCCTTCTTTGTTACCGGGGTCGACCCCAAAGCCATAATGTCTCAAAACGAGGAGGCCATATATATGTTTTGTATGACTTTGTCTCGAACTTCGTGAAGAACTCCATTCTATCTCTCCCTCGTTACGAACAAAAAAGTGGGGCTGCGCCCCAGTTGTACACTCCCTTCGTTCTACGAACCCTTGTTGATTCTGAACTTCGTTCGCGAAGGAACCGGACGTTTGACGGGCCAGCCCTTTTTTATGCGCCGCTTTACCCTGAAAGGAAAATGAGCTTTGCTCCTCTGGGTGCTAGGCGCTCCCGTGGTTCGCGAGAAGGAAAAAGAAGGACTCATCCTTTGTTGCATCTGGCACGAGATGATAAAGAGAGAGCTTCGTCTATCGATGAACAGCGGATTGACGGAGCTCTTGGCATTGCTTTGTTTTTTTCTCCTTTCCTATCAGCGAGTTCCGATCCTTTTGTTCGAAATTTATTCTTTCGTACCGAACCGCTTGCAGAATCAAATCCTGTTCCACAAGATCCTATATCAGCTATACATCCTCCTTGCATTTATGCCGGAGACGTCGCCAGTGCTATGGGCTTTGGATTATGTAGATCAAAAATGATGAATGGGATTGTGGCACTCCACTCGCCGCCAATGCGGAAGGATGCCGCCGAAAAGAAGGGAACGCTGCTTCGCTCTGCTGGATGCGTCGGATCCCGTATAACAAGCGAGCTTTTTACCAAAAAATTCAAACATGTGGTCGCAAAATGCTATCCAGCTCTCTTGTTGCGTAGCAATAGAAGCCTGCTCATGCTGCTTTGGCGGCGCTTTTTCGCCTTCTCTTCGCTCTGGACAGGAGCGCTAGTGGACACGGGGAGGGAGCAGGCGAAGCGTGTCGTTCGTAATGAACAGAAAGAGACCACTACTTCGCCTCTTTGTTGGAGCGCCGGCGCGAACACAGTGATATCTGACCAGGACCAGGAACAGATTCGAATTTGGATCTTGACATGTCGGTGGTTTTTCACCGTGGGCATCATGCCAGGAAGTTGGTGGGCTCATCATGAATTAGGTCGGGGTGGCTGGTGGTTTCGGGATCCCGTAGAAAATGCTTCTTTTATGCCTTGGGTATTAGCCACAGCTCGTATTCATTCTGAAATTCTACCCCTTCTTCATTCTTGGATCTCGTTTCTGAATATTGTGACTCTTCCATGCTGTGTCTCAGGAACCTTTTCAATACGGTCCGGATTGCTAGCTTCCGTTCATAGTTTTGCTACAGATGATACACGAGGAATCTTTTTATGGCGGTTCTTCCTTCTAATGACCGGCATATCTATGATTCTTTTCTCCCAGATGAAGCAGCAGGCATCGGTCCGTATCACTTATAAAAAAGAGATGGTTGTGGCGCGAAGTACTCTTGTGCACCTCCGTCACTCGGCTCGCGCGCAACCCCGCCCCCTTATGTTTGTTATGGAAGAATTGAACTTATGACCGGGCTGGTTATTCAGAGCCAGCAATTGGCTGCCGGATTTCGTCCCGCAACTATAAGAAGTTCGGGGGTCACTGTGGCGTGGCTGAATGTAGAGCAGTCCGCCCGCGTTTGATCAGTAAATTCTGCATTAGTCCTCGAGGTTGTTGGTATCCCGCCGACAGACCCACTCACGATCGACTAAAAGGAAAGTCGCCCGGAGATATTGGTTCGAATCCAATTCGTGAGATGGCAGTGATCTTTAGCTGGTCATAGCCATAATAAAGGCAACGCAAGGTTTGCTCCAGTCTATGAAAGGAAGGATGATCCCAGACCGACCTACCGTTAGCTTTGCTAAAGCATCCCAGGTAAGGACAGGTGGCATAGCGCAGTCCTCACCGATGTGGTGTCCAGTCACAACCTATAGAATAAGAAGATTCTCCTTTTCCTATTGATTTTTAACCTCGCATAGATAGATCATCTCGTTCTACTTTATGTCTTACCTAGGGTTGGTTTTAAGCCTTGGTGGTCTCATTTAACCAGTGTGCCCACGTGACAATAAGAGCATCGGTACCTGTGAACTCCCCCCCTCCTATGGAAGCTGAGCAAAGAGGGAGGGCTGCCCTTTAATTGGTGAGCGATCAGAGTATTTTCGGGCTCTCACTTCACACTAAGACAACCAGGAACCCTCTTTCAAAACTTGCTCGACACACGAACCTCACAAGACGAGAGTCGGCTCGAGGATCAAAATCCTTTCCTCAGGCTGGGTCAACTCAAGAAGTGGAAGGGATCTAAGGTTGTTCTTCTGGGTATGGAATCGGAAATTCCCATCCAGAGCGTTACCTGTGACTTTGCGTAACTATTTTTTGGTAAAAAAGAACCACGCTCCCAGAAGACAGCGGCAACCCCTATTGCTCTTTGAAGAGAATCCGTAAGACCGGGTAGTAGAATGTGAGAAAGAGAGCTATTTTGCGCTGAGCAAAGCTGGTGATGTGCCACTGTATGGAGGGCTCAGAGAGAGTCAAAGTGCTTTCCTCACCACTGAGTACTCCGAACTGGTCTCCGCAAAGCCTTATACTGGGCTTGTTCTCTGTTTTTATTGATACCACTTTTTGAATGAATCTCCCACTCTCTCTCATTTATTCAGCAAAAAAACTACAAATAACAGGGGCCCTCCGCTATAGGTAGCATCTTCATCTACTTCGGGCCTGGCGGTCGGAGACTCTACTCCTAATTCATTGAACTGCTTTGCCCGGCTACGGCATCCCTAGCAGGAGCTACTCTCAGTTCAATCGGGATGAATCCAAAAGGGATAGCCCTAAAAAAAGGGCGTCAGGATCAATCCTGACAACCCCTCTCCTAGCCCGTGGTTGATCGATACCACGGGCTAGGTAGGACTATCCTTACCGGAAACACCACCCACCAAACAAGTAGAAAGGACCACTTGTCTGCACAAGGATTGGAACCTTGTACTCAAGACCCTTCTCAGCAAGCCAGTCATAGACCGACCTGCCATAGAAGACCAAAGCGAACCAGCTCCGGATCTGTTCGCCTGATCTCCCAGTAGTGATACACAACTGGGGCTTCAAAGAACTTTTAGAGTGAAACCCAAGGATCCATAGATACACTGCAATACCATTTAAGGTAGTTGAGCCATTGCATCATCCAGCTCCGGAGAAGTGAATACTCCAGGAAGTCAGCCATCCCCTCGAACTCCAATAGTTCTACAGGAGGACGGTGTAACTCCCGAGGCTTCAACCTCTCGAGAGCATACCTCTTTAGTTTCCCAAGGAGGTAGGGATTCAATGGACAACCATCACCTAAAAGATATTCCACCGGAAGGCGAGACTTGCCAAAAAGGACCCTAAACCGTTTCCATTTAATCGATTTAGGGCTCTTAGCGACAGATCGAGTCTTATACCCAGCACCGCCTATACGCATGAGAGTAAAAAAGATCACTATTTTTTACTTTTCATGTATAGCCAATAGGCCGTAGGGGTGGTGGAAGCCACATAAAGCTTTCATGGACACAGGATAGTGCTGGCGCACCCTCATATCCTTGACCAGAAATTGTTTGGCAAACTCTACAGCACCAGTTGAGGATATCAAAGACTTATGTGTGGATATCTTCACACCAAGCCGTTGTAAGCCTAGCCGGTACTGTTCCGCCACAAGTGGATCGGTGATGAGAACATCATCACCTAATATAGCATACCTGTCGAACAGGATCCCAGGTCTAACCTGTTCCGCAGCCCACCACACCAAAACATGATGGGTGAACGCGAACAAAGGCCAATAACCATAATAGCCTAACGGTTGACCGGTCACAAAGGACACTTGAGACAGAGCCCTCTTAACGAAGGGTACCTCAAAGACATTCGTCCCTAATGTTGTATTCACAACACTTGAAGCAAATGACCTGTCAAACAATAGCGCAAGCGTTTCAAACATAAACACAAGAGGCCACCTATCGGTAGCACTCTGGAGGTCATAGCTGAAACATGTTTTACTAGGAACTAAACGAATGAGAGGTGCTGTTTGATCATCCATTGGGATGCGGCGGAGGACCTCCGCAAACCAATGGTGGATGGGTTTCAGCAACCTCTGATTCACATAGTTTCCTATTGCGAATATACGACGCTTGCCAGCACCCTCACACGTGCAACCTAGTTTGCCTGTGATTGCGGGCCCATATCGTCGCAGGATGGTAGAAAGGGCCCTATACGGCGCTCAAACCAATCCAAATCCTCGGGTGTGAAGGTTTTATTCCTCACATCAAAGGCGTAACGAATACGGGGAGGCCACAAGCAGCCATGTGACCGACCATTGGGTACCCTGTGAGTGCCCAACGACCAACAGCCATTGAAAAGCGCCCAACTCATGAGAAAACGATGTGAATGAAGAGCGAAAGTTCCGAATCTTACGATAAGGAAGTTTCCTTCTCTCAACCCACACCCTTTTCGTCAATGAGTGTGTCGGCAAGGCTTTCCAGGTTGGTTCAAACCGTAACCCTTGTTCAATTCAAGGGGTATACGTTTTATCCAGGGAGCATAGCGACTGATAAGTCGATTAAAGTTCTCCTTAATCGAACCAACCAGCCCCACCACCTCGTCAATATTATCGGGTGGGGATATTCTACTAGAAAACGTTGATTTATCAACCTTCTTTGCCAAAGTAATGATCTTTGACAGAGAGAATCTTTTTTAATAAAACTTCACCAGCATGTCCGCTTTCTCATCCTTCTTCAGAATCATACGCCTATGATGAGACGGAACCGAGGGTAACCGGACCGAGTGAGAGAAACTGGTACCGCATTGTCAGGATGAACGAATTCATCACCACCATAGGCCATCATCAAGGATGAAGCTGCTTGCTTCAAATATAAAGCGCAGAACAACCACCCTGATTTCCGACCAAGGTGAACAATGCGAATAACAACAAGATGGATCCCCACACAGAGTTCCTTGTTCAGACCATCAAAGATCACTAAAGCACCTTTTGGTATGTATTGCCCCCTAAAGATCAGATCCACCAGACGAGAAACTCAATTCCGCACTGCTGCTGAGTCGTCGGACTTATCCACCAAGGGATTCGTGGAATTTCGATGGATTGCGTTGGGGGAAATCTACCAAAGCTAGGCAGATAGATAGACTCCTTTCCCGCTGCTAAGGGAGAGTAAGAAACAAAATCAAATGATTGTTTTTTAATCAGCGCCTCCTTTTCTTTTGGGTATGCAGGTACTACGAGTCCTCTCACTACCAACCAGCAGACATCATCTGGCTGGTCTTGCCGGTATCAACAACAAGAAAAAAAAACCAAATGGAAACAGCAATTAACTATGGCTCTTGGCCCAGACAACGTCCTAGGCGTCGGGGAGATCGGAGCAAGAACGCCTAGACGACGTTTTTCTTCCTGGGCTGCAGTAAGCAGATCGAGAGGTCGTTCCGCCCCTTGTCCCCGAATATGGGTAATATGTTCTCATAAATTCTTGCTCCAATCTGACCTAGCTGGCGAGCGATCCCAGTTCGCGGCAGAGAACAAGACAGCAAGCGAGCGTACCTTTGTTCGCTTCTTCTCCACCAAGCACGGAAGTTTAAGGATAACTGTAGGTCGGTGGCTACCTAAGGAAACTCCGATTCGATCCGCCCCCCAGCTGGGAGGCATCTACCTCATCCCGATCACAAGGAGAGGTTCACCATGATGGGGGTACTTGTTTTTTTTTCCCTTCCGGAAAGAATGAAATGCATAGGGGACCATCCTTTTGTTGTGTTGCGGCATGCTCCTCAGATTTACGGATTCGCAGGGGGCCTCAGGCCCTACTTAGTTGACTGACAATGACAAAGGCTTGCGAAACTAAGTAGGGCCTTTTGAATTGAATCTTAAGTAGTCTATCAGTGGTGCAAAGCGGCTTTGTGCCCCTTTTCAGTAGGGGAGCGAAAGGTTAGACCTTAGAAAGTCAGCGAACAGCGGTTCTTCTATGTAGGTATGGCCTTCCCCCTTGACTCTCCTAACGTCGAGCTAAGTGACTTCGTAACCTTTGCGTAGCGTAGTAGAATGAAGGCTACGCACTGACGCTCTCTTATCTATTAGCCTAAGCGTCTTCGCTAACTCGCTCGCCTACTATACTATACCCTACTATACAATACATTAGTAGGGTAGGCTAACCCATAGGTCCTTAGTAGCGTTGACAAAGAAGAACAGCCGGTTAAAAGACAGTGAATCTTTATAAATATATATTTATAAAAGATTCTATAATAATGAAGATCTTTTATATAGGCCAGCTTGACAAGCTACCCTTCCTCTTGATCTTAGGTGCGAAGAGAAAGATCTCTTTTTTATGACTTCCACTTATCTATCGATCCCGGCCCGGAAAAGTGACCGACCAGGGCCCTCTTTTTGAATGAAAGAAAGGCTTTATGAGCCCTAGCCCTGTAAGCCCACACCTGTGTAGAGTAGATCGTTCAACACCTGCGGCACAAACCCATTTTTGACCAATTGGTCCTAGTATCATAGGCGACCGAACGGCCGCCCCCTAATTACTAGACCAACCTGCTGTAATAATTCCATAAACACCTAACGAAGATATGGCAAACAAATAAAGTAGCCCTATGTTCGAATCTGACAATACCATACCATAATCAAAAGGTACAACGGCCCGAGCGACCAGACTTAACATAAATGTAGCCACTGGAGCCATTCTAAAAAGGGAGAAATTAGCACTACTTGGTGAAATAGGTTCTTTTAGAATCAATTTCAAACCATCTGCTAGAGGTTGTAACAATCCGAACGATCCCACTACATCAGGACCCTTTCGACGTTGCACAAAAGCCATTACTTTACGTTCAGCTAGCACTAAAAAGGCTACTCCTAGTAGAAGTGGTAGAATTATTCCAAGTATTTCAGCTGGAACAGCTATGTACGTTTTCGATTTTCTATTCACTCATGATCTGGCCTGGTCGACCCAATCATGATATTGAAGGATGGGACCTTTTCTCGAAAAACCCTGTATCTCGACATACGGGCATTCTTTTCGATCTTGTACCCAGCAAGAAAATGCGCGAACGCGGCTTTCGCCTCAATCCCTTGCTTGTTCGCTTCGCATAGGCTACACAAGCGGTACACTTCACACCAACCCAATCTCGAATCAAAAAGTGAACTACAAGCAACTACATCTGTGAACTGGGAGGGACGGAATCCTAGCTACTAGGGTAGCCTGAATCTACGCTACCAGCTTTCTTATTATTCAATTTCCGCTTCGCCCTTTTCCGGGGAGCAGGACAGAGAGCCTAAGGGACAGAGAAGAAAAGACTACATCGACAGGAAAAGATTTTCATTGGGAAGGCTTCTTTTCCTCAACTCAACATTCTTCTCTGGGTCAAGCCAGCTAGGCCCTCTTCTGTCTATCTACGTAATAGAGTGCCATCCCGCTTCTGCCAGAATCGAAGCCAATACGTGGACGCTTAAATGATTTGGTTCACGTCTTTCAATGCCTTAAGTTAGTTATTTTCTTACCCGAGTGACTGAATTCCATAGTTCATTCCTCAACCGGAAAGATCGTCCCAAACTAAAAGAGAGTCTACCAAACCCAAACAAGGATCTTCCCAGCCTTCCACCAAAGCCACAACACTTCCTGTATCACCATCTCCGCTCACAGAGGGATAAGCGGACTAGCCGGCTGAAAGGCAAAGAGAAGAACTGCCTACTCAATTACAACTAACTAACCGCCTGAGCGAATTGCCGATCTCTTTCCCAAGGGATGATCTTCCTTTCATTCAGAAAGGCCTCCATCTTGCATTTTCACGCGCTCAATCGGAATTGGTTAGGTAGATGTGAGGAAAGAGCAGTGCTTTATTAATAGTCGTGGGGGTCTGTAGGCCCCATTGTCTTGTTGTTGTGTAGCTACTATTTTCGAGTGTTGGAGCTGAGCTGATTGGAGCTCGGGATTTCCTTAAGCGAGTTCAAGGAAGTGACGTGAAGGTCACCTTAGGTAAGGAGCTGACGAGAGAAACAGGTCTCCACGTCTTTTGGTAGTGGAGGACAGAAGGCGGACTTAATTGAGTTGTGGTCTTGTTGGGGGGCTCTAGTAAGGTATGGGGCTTTCAAAGGGGGGAAATTCACCCAGTCTAAGCCAGGCAAGCAATGCAAAGCTAGACGAACCCAGACAGAGAAAGATCGGGCTTTGGAAGCGGGATGACATAAGGACTATGCACAATTCCGTCACGTGCGGGTAGACCAGAACGTAGACCTGTCATTCCTTAACCGGGATGGTAAGGCCCTTGAAGCTGAATTGGATCAAAGGCTGCGCATCTCGCACCTTGCTACTTATTTCGTAACAAAGCGAATGAGTAATCGAATGCCCTAGCCCGAAGAAGTTGAAACTGTCCTGGAATCCCTACTCGCCCATGTCGGGATTCAACGGCTTGTTCGAAGTCCGAATGAATGGATAATACATACATAAAGAATATGAAGCACAATCTCCAACTCTTAACCGGTGGCATCTTTGCTTGTTCCTGATGCTTCAATTTATGTAGGGCTCCGTCCCGGAAGTGGACTTCTCTTCTCCTTTCGTTCTCTTCCTTCTTTTTTGGTTAGATATTAATAAATAGTAGTGCTAAAAGAGTCTTTGTCAGTACGGAAAGCTAGTCTGATTATTTTGAATAGCATTCTTTTTGCCTATCACTTTCTTTTTTGATACTCCCTTCGCTCCCCTCTTATCCAATCAACCAACTGTCCCAGGCCGGGAAATAGCGTTCCCGGAAGAAGCTTTCGCCGCCCCTAGCTCTTAGCTGTCTCCTTTCTTTTAGTCAGAGGTCAAAAAACTGGAATTCGACATCAATGGAGAAGAAAGCAGACTTGTTCGCTCACTCTTCTTGCCAAAGTGATTGATCTCTCTTTCTTTGGACTGGTATTCCCGCCGAGGAGACCCGCCCCGACCTTGATTAGCTCACTCTTTTCTTAGCTGGTCTTTGCTTTCCAGTGAACATTCTCTTTCTAGAGAGAACTGGTGTGCACCAGAGCTGGAGCAATTCATGGAAAGCATCCTTATATTCAAGAACGGAGAGTCTCATCTCCTGGGGCCTGACCCTGTGATGTAGAATCCTTTGCTCTTTCACGCATTGATCTTGATCTGGTGTATGGAGGATCAAGTCTTCTACTAAAAGGATATAGGGATGCGGATTAGGGAAGAGATTTGGATGAAAGCAAATCCACTGTCGGGTGGATCTTCATGTATGGAGGAGCTAACTTGGATAGTGGCTTGAGAACATCTCTCTCATCTTTTGGCTGGGTGCAGATGGATTCGGGGAGGGAATGAGTGGAACTTTACCACTCGACACGGAAAGTGAAAGAACTCCATTACTAAATGGAGAGGATCAGTGCTATTCAAATGTCTAACCTACCGATTTCGGTGATACATGTAGGGCTAATATGCTATGCTTTATTCCTTTCATTTAGCGGTATATAGGAAAGGTTCTTTTTGGCAATAAATATGCCAAAAGCCTTGGAATGCCACCCGGCCTTCACAATGGGCATCCCCGTTTTTGGTCCAGTGGTACTGGCTTGTCGAGAACGTCCGAGCTTGATGTTACTCCCGACTGCCCGATTACGACCCTTGATCCTAACCCTCGGAGCGAAGGAAGGGCAAGCAATGAATTCTATTTTACGCAAGAGGTTCGCTCCGCCCCTTGCTTGTCATTCCCGATCTTCTCTTGTTTTGCCCTTTATTCCGGAGGAAAGCGAGTTCTTCCCCACGTATCGGTATAAACAAAAAATCCTCTTCTTCGGCTGTTCACAAGTCTTCGGATGTTCACAATGTTGTTAAAGCCTAAATCCACAGCTATTACAGGAGGTGAGGAAGGGGGCCCTGAGAGAAGGATTCGACCTTCCTTCGATCAAAAGAGTTAAGGTGGAATGAGATTAGCAATAGCATTCTATTTCTTTAAAAATGGATTCCCCTGGATAATGAATTTTTAAATACAAAAGTGTTGAAGTCAATTTACTAGCTTTACTAGCTGGATTCTATTCTCGTAAACCGATGACTTAGAATCTTATAAGGGAAGTTAGCCTAGGATTCAGAGTCAACTACGGAGGTCGGTCTCTCTCTGTAAGCGCTTCGCTTTTTCCTGATTTATTGAACAGGTGCCCTGTGGAACATGTTTTATGGAATGAAACTCTTTATTCCATATTTCTTTTCTTACTGATTGAATTCAGGTAGAGAGAGGAATATTCGATCAAAACCCTTAGTCCGATAGGGAGATAGTATACATTCCATCCGGATAAGACACAGAGATGAAAGACGAATCAAGCAAGAAAGACAGAAAAAGGGGCCGGTTTCTCGAGTGATAGTGATTTCTTTTTGTGAGTCTGACTGTCCTCATTCTAGTTGGTAGGCGTGCGAGTAAGAGGGTAGTAGGCGAAGTTATATGAATGGAATGGGACTTCAGCTTAGACAATCGTATCCTCCCTCCAGCAAATAAGGTGGAGTGGGCAAGGCAGAGAAGACAGGAAAAGACAAGCTCAAACTTCAGCATTTCCATTACCAGCTCCAGTAAAGGAAGCATTTCCAGTGAATAAGAACTTGAATTGGGTCGGGCTAATCCATGGGGGCAAGTCTCCGAGGAAGGGTCTATGTCCCCTGTTTACAAAACAAAGCATGTCTCTCTTTACGCAATTCAATCAAACTTTCTACATCTCTGTGAAGAAAGAAAAGTAGGCGCTTTTAAGGCCAGTGTGGAGTAGCTAGAACGGATGGGAGGTAATTCGTCCTACATTGGGTGGCTTGCTAAAGCCTTGTGTTCGTTTCAGCGGCCTTTGAGGATCTCTTTTCGCTATGGTATGCTCCCATATCGATGGATGGGCGAGTGACTATTGCTCTTGAACTTCGTTGGTCAATTGAGTGGTTTTTTTCTCTCCTTTCTTTTTTCGTTTCCGTTGGTGTTGGGGGCGCGAAGGCTGAGACTTCTACTGATAGCAAGCACCGGTACTTGGATTCGGCTTGGGACCAATCTCGTCATCCCATCTCAGTGGTCGAGTCGCATCCCACCGGTACGAGAGTAGGCTATGAGTCTGCTTTTCAGCTTATTCTTCTTCTTTTTTTCAATTCTATGCCAATCAAGAAATCCAGTCTCCTCTCTACCATACTTCAGGAAGTTCGGTTTGCTGCCCATTCGAGCTGACTAATCAGCAGCTACGGAAGACGGGATCAACTAATTCGATACGATACCACCAAACAAAGGATTCTAAACCTCAAAGCCTATTCGATAGGAGCTTGCTTTGCATTCTATGCATTTTTTTTACTACTACATGTCTACTAGATGTCACTTCCTTGTCCGATTCAAGGCCATCTTCATTAGCACCAGATTCAATAGCCGGGGATTTCTTCTTTCGATCCATGTCATCTGGCATACTAGCTCTGACGACTAGTCTTCTGTTAATTCTTAATGAAATATCTCCTGCGAATCCTTATCCTTCAAACAGCTTATTCTGATTAACTGAAATAGCCTATTCTCGAACAGCCGATTCTATAGATGATATAAAAGCGGATTCGTCCTGCTCTCATTCTTGCTTGTCATTTTAGTCAGAACTTAACATCTCAAGTTGGTTCGTAGCCAGCTCCAAGAGATTCAACATCAACAGTTGAGATTGTGTCTTCAAGAGCGGATGAATGTGCAGCTTCTTCTTTCACGGTTGTTAAATCGGATTCAGAATCAAATAGAAGAGTTGGGTGAGGTTCGCAAGACTCTAAAAATAGGATCCTATCCGACTTCAAAGCTTGAAGCATCAGATTCGTTCAAACTTTAGGGTTAGGGGTCGCTTCCTCTTTTCTAGCTGGACACTTTGATCGAAAGATGTAGAAAGCTATGGTCGAGTGGCTGGATACCCGTAACCTTCACGAAAGAGAAAGATGAACACAGAAGAGCCATCATACTTTAGAATCAAAAATTTATCTAACCGTAGAAGTTTAAGACGTTGTTACTATGCTTTGTTGTCGGCATTATGTCTTCCCGACTTTAATCAAGTACCAGTGCTGGTATGTTTTAGTCTTTCCCTTAATGCCTAATGAGGTGCCGACATCTGTGTTAGTTCCTAGGAGTGATGGTACAACATCCCTTAGTAAGAGCATCCGAGATAGCCAAGGATCCGAAGGAGAAGCAAGAAAAAATCCGGCTATTGAATCAACTGGTATAGAAGAAGCCGCACATTCATCCGGTGTTCTAGAATATGGCCGAATGCTGCAATCCAAGTGTGAAAGAAGGAGCTGCAGATTCATCTTACTCTATAAATTCCGATTGAATCGACATCTGAGATTAATTAAAAAAAAAAATCCCTTATCTTCCTATTTAGGAACTGAACCGCCATTAAAGCTTTCTGGTCTAGGCCATCCTCTTTCTTCTCTTAGAGGATTAACCGCAAAAACAAAGGATAAATCAATGCAATTGAAGCAAGGTGGTTATTATTATTAGTTGAACTCGGACTCTTTATCCTCAATCGAAGGATCAGAAGGCACTCTACTAAACACGGATTGACTCTCTTGCCCAAGCATTGCCGCCCACGACTCGGTTAACTACTTTGGTTCTTCCTTACCTTTTACCTGCAGCAAAGGGGTCTTAGGTCTATTGCTTGACGGGAGTAGTAGAGATTAGGGGAAAGCTCTTTCTTTTCTGATCGAAAGAGATTTTTTTGACTCGCTATCGCTATAAAGGTTACAACCGGCGGCATTCAATCAAAAGGAAGGTTATTACATAAGTGATTAGAGCGATGCCCCTTGCTTTGCAAAGAGTTGAGTTCTTCCTCTTGAGCGCAGGATAGCCACTGACTCTTCCGATTAATTAAGATATAGGACAAGCCAGAGCCAAAGCCAACGCGTCAAAGTCAAGTCAGGTT